TACCCCGCCTCCCACTACCCCGCCTTCCACTACCCCGCCTCCCACAACCCCGCCTCCCACAAGCCGCCAACACCCTACGCGCCAACACAGCGCCCGCACTCCTACCGCCCGCCACCTGCAAGCCCGTACGCGCCGTCCGCCCCGCCGCTGCGCCCGCATTCGCACCGGCCTCAAGCGCCCCGCCCGCAGTCGCACCGCGTACAGACGCACTACCCCTCCACGCACCCGACCACGACGACGTCGACGCGCCCGCGCGGCTACCCGAAGCCGCTCGGCCGCGGCCGCGGCTTCCCCGTGCTGTCGGACGGCCGCTTCCTCACCTCGCACCCGACCACCCTGCTTCTGCACCCGTCCCCGACGTCGTGGACCGTCCGCACGCGCCGCGGCGAGCGCCTCTTCACCCTCACGCGCCGCTACGCCCTGCTGTCCCGCGAGCGCCACTTGCTGGACGCCCGCACCAACCGCCCCGTCCTGCGCGCCCGCTCGGCCCGCCTCTCCGCCCGCTCCACAGCCCGCGTCTACGCCGCCGGCGAGTGCGTCCTCACCGTGCAGAGGAAGAGCGTCATCGAGGGCCGCACCGTGTACGGCCTGGTCAGGGGCAGGGGCAGCCCGGATTTGGTCGTTAGCGCAGACGCGAAGGGGAAGAGGTTCACCTTCACAGACCGCAGGAGTCTGGAGATTGCAACCGTGAAGAAGAGTAGCGTGCGGGGGAGGGGGGGAGAGAGGAAGACCGAGTTTAGGATGCACCTAAACCCAGGATATGACGCCGCGCTTTTCGTTACGGCGATGGTTTGCGTGCAGGAGGCACTAAGTGAGTGAGGCGACACTGGTCCGAAAGCTTACAATTATCATGCCTTTCTTGTCACTACCCGGCCCTTTTACGGTGTGGGAGGTGTCAAGGAAGTACGATGGTCTTCGATGTTGTCAGGTTGCGCGACGACCTCCATCCCTATTATATTTTCAACCGTGACTCTGTCAAAACCGGCCTCCCCGTCACAAGGGTCAATCGTTTCTTGTCACCAACCGGCGCTTTTTCTGTGTCGTTCGACATGGCCGGAAGGTGTCGAAAGAGGACGGCCGTCGTCGATTTTGTCAACCACGAGTCGACTATCTTCCCTATTTTATTGTCAACCGTACCCTCTGTCAACATCCGCCTCTCCGTCACTTGCTAGCCTGCGCCTTCGCTATGAGACGTTTATAGCGGGAGCGGCACGCCTTTCGATGGCGCCGGTTCTGCATAAGAACGGCGACATCTCCGAAATGGAACGGCTCACCCGACTTTTCCAACGCTTGCACCGCCGCCACAAGCCGTCGATCCTCGTCCTCACTCCACGCCCCCCGCACCAACTTGGGGTCCAGCGAGAAGGTCCATCTCGAGTAACAGCTTGCGTCATCCCGCCGTTCCAGCAAGTCGGCCACGGCGGCCCACTTGCCCACGCCATGCTTCGCCACGGCGTCGCGCAGAGCCTGATCCTCCTCCGCCGTCCACACGCGGTAGTGCTCCGCCATGCCGCTGCCACTCACGGCAAAGTCGCGCACCTGGTCCCCGGAGTGCCCCGAGCCGAGCAGCTGCGCGACCTTGGTCCACTGCTTGGGGTGCGCCCGCAGCAAGTCGCGGAGACGCGACATCTCGGCCATCGTAAACGGCCCTTTACTCACGCTGGTTTGCAGGCGCAACAGCCAGCGCTGGCGGCAGCCGCGGTTCGTCCGCCCGTTGCCCACGTGGGCGGCCGCTTGCGCCCAGTCGCGGCCGTGCTGCGAGACCGCCTCGCGCAGACGCGCGTCTTCCTGCTCGCTCCAGGGTCGTCCGCTGTATCGCCCGCGGCGCAGCGAGACCGGGTGCACGTCGCCGAAATTGGGGTGCTTTGCAGCGGTGTTTGGTGCGTTGAGATGGGGCGATCTGCCCGGGAAGCGGGTGTCCGTGCACAGGGTGTGACGCGCTGTGAGATGGAGCACAAGTGATACGGAGTAAGTATTAGCCGGCTTGTCATGCGCTGTTTTGCGTGCTCGCAGGGTTTGGTATAAAAGTTTTGTTTTGTAACGAGCACAGCCGGATCGCATCAATCGCACGGCGGGTTGCATTTTTCTTACATGAAGAACGTCGGTGGAAACAGGGTGAAGGCTTCTGAATACGAATCGAAGGAAAAGATGGTCCAGTTTCCTAATGCTGGTATCAGAACATGATAAGCAGGCACATGGGCCCACAGCACATCACTCAACAGGAACGGCTTCCGGAGCCGGTGATTGCCTGACAAGCAAGTCAGCGATTTGAGATTGGAGGGAGGTGAGAGCCCGTCCCAACACAGCATATCACATCAGTGGCAATCGCGCAGAGCCTCCTGATTGGTTGCTGCTGATACAAATATTAACATGGCAGTCTTAGTAAGAGGTAGTAAGCGCCCTTTCTCCTGGAGTGTAAGCCCCACAGAAAGGTAATTTCATTGGACAACAAATAGATTGAGACAACTCAAAAGCAAGCGACCACAGTAAAAACGGTCTCAAACGCGCTGAACAGAGTCAGTAAAATGCCCAGCGGAAAGTGGGGATGATCTCCCCAACATCACGCTATCATCCGTGCATCAAACCGTCTCCCGTCTAGCACCACCTTTTGTCGACTCCACCTCCATATTATCTCCAGCACTCCTGGATGCCATATCCCCCTTCACACCCTTTTTCAACCGAATATCGCTGGCGCATATCCCACCTCATGAATAGAGACGAAATCACGTTCTTATCTGTAACTTCAATTTATACCGATGAGGAGTTTTCCGGCGCATTCCGAATGTCTGGTCCCATCTTCGCGAAATTGTTGCGACTTATTCAGTGTAAAATTCAGAAAAACATTGAGATGAGTCAAAGGTCAAAGAGAACAACCGTCATGCCAGATATGCGCCTCGGAATCACCCTACGCCTACTAGCTGTAGCAGATATGTGGGAACTCATATCAAGCTACCACGTGAGGAAATCTACTATCCACAGATTTTTTGAGGACACTGTAAGTGTGCTAAATGTGGTCCTCCGGCTTCCTTGACTGCCGAAAACAAGAGGAGATCTCTATACATCATCAATCGCTTTCAAAACCTCAAGAAAAACACTTAGTCCGTTGGACGGGTGTGTCGGGGCTCTAGATGGTCTTGCAGTTAAAATCACTAAACCAAGGGGGGAAGAAAACCCCGCGTCGTACTACAACAGAAAAGGGTTTTACGCCCTTTGTGTGCAAGCTATGGTGGACTCTAATTATCGTTTTCTGACATACTCCTGTCGCTGCGTGGGTTCGACTCATGACTCGCTCAGTCATGAGACCTCAAGTTTAGGAAGATATCTCCAGGAGGGCCGTTTGTGCGAAGAATTTTGGATAGCCGCTGACGAAGCATATTTGTGCACTGAAACTGTCATAAAACCTGTACCAAGCTCGCAGGTTACAGAGACAGAAGATGCGTTCAATTTCTACCACTCGTCACTACGAATGCACGTAGAGCAGGCGTTTGGGGTTTTAGTAGCCAAATGGGGCATTTTGCAAAGGCCCTTGCGTTTAGCAGTACGGAAGCCATCACGAATTGTGTGCACTGCCATGAAGATACACAATTTCTTTGTCGATGAAGGCGGTTCGAGGCGAGAAGGTATGACAGCAGTGGAGTTTAGACAGGTTTACACAGAAAGCTTGAGGTGGCACAGACAAATGACGCAGTCAGTAAACACAGGAAGGGAAACAGGACGAAGAATGGCGGGTTCGAGAAAACGTGACAGTCTCATAGATCTGGTAAAGGCAAAACGATTGGAACGACCTCCTGTACGCCAACGCCACAAATAAATATTCGTCCCCCTCTACAAGTAGTGCTGCAATTGGATTATTCGAAATGGTTGACGTGGGAAGCTATAGAAGTTCATGGCCTTCTAGACAAGCTCGGGCGCTGGCGATACTGAGGAAGGGACACGAACAGAAATGGAACAAGGTACGCAAGGAGAAAAGTTGAAAGATGGGAATGGAGTGGAAAAGGGGAAGCTGGGGTTGACTAAGGTGAGATGGAGCTGGAGTTCAGGACGGGGAGCTGAGACTGTGGGGATGGCGAGGGAAGCAAGAAGCTGCAGTTGGTGAGGGAGCCAGGATGCTGGAGATGGTGAGAGAGGACTAAAGCCGAAGATGGGAAGGGAGGGACGACTCTGGGGATGGTCAGGGAGAAAGAGAGCTGAGATTGGTGAGAGAGGGGGGAGACTACAGTTGGTGAGGGAGGTAAGAAGCTGCGTTTAATGAGGGAGATGGCAAGCGGAGGATGGGAAGGGAGGGACGACTCTGGGGACGTTCCGGGAGAAAGAGAGCTGCAGATAAAAAGGGAGGCAGGAAGCGGCGGTTTTTGAAGGAGAGGGGAGGCTGAGAATGGTGAGGGAGGGGGGAGCTGCAGTTGGTGAGGGAGGTAAGAAGCTGCGTTTTGTGAGGGCGATGGCAAGCTGAGGATGGGAAGGGAGGGACGACTCTGGGGATGTGAAGAGAGTTAGGAAGCTGGAGCTAGTGAGGTAGAGAGAGACAGAGAAAGAGAGACAGACAGAGAAAGAGAGACAGACGGAGAGACAGAGAGACGGAGTAAGTGAGATATGGGAATGGTGGGAGAGGAGGAGAGAGGAGGAGTTTGCAAGTGGGGACGCACGAGTGGATGTTGATGATCATTCGATTTGTTGCTACAGTAGTTTGAAGGACCCACTCTATTTGTACATTTTATACATCTCATTGTTTGTGCTGACCTTCTGCTTTAATGTAATTAGCCTAAAATATATATCTTAAGGTCTTCAATATATACTATCAATGTCTTTCACGTGGGCACCTCGCAGTGACCAATCATATGGCCTAACTTGATATCGGAAAGAAAGGCATGGTTATGTTGGGACGGGCTCTCAGAGCCCGTCCCAACATAACCATGAGGAGCAAGACACTTTCGCCACCTCGACGCCGCTTGGATCGGCCCACGTGGTGACCGTCCTCTTTCGTGAGCTCTGAAGCCAAGCATAACAAAACGCATGCCATCGTTAACTCCGAATGGTTTAGGTTAGATTTGAATTGAATTTTTGAGTTTTCTATTTGTTTCACGTTTTGGGTACTTGTTCCATTGGGAACCAACGAGTACGCTGTTCGTGTTGTTCCTTGCTGTAATGGGATACGTACAGTGGGTTCGCGATAATTGAAACCCCCGATAATTGCAACATCGCGATAATTGAAACGGAATCTTGGGAACGACCTTGGTGGTCACCCAAAAATATCTAAAAAATAAGCTTGTTTCAATTCCGATAATTGAAACGTTTCAATAACGATCCCAGAAGGTCAGCCCCCTCAACCCACCCTCAGAACACCCAAACATAACGACAAATCTACGAAAAAATGAAACGGCACCCGTTATAAATCATTTACCGTTACAGGAACAGGATAACCGTTTTCTTCAAATGAACTATATTCCTTAAACAAGCTATCCCTGTTAGCACAAAATAATACTAAAATGTGAAGTCTTTACTTAGGGACACCTCCCGAACACAGTTCCATCTTGGCCACACTCCCTCCCTTGATCCCAACTCTCAACCGTTTCCCCTATTCCTCCCTCACTGCCAAGCATCACCATGAAATATACTACGCTTTCCCTCATTCAAAAAAAGCAGATTTGCGAGCAGTATGTCGCACTAAGCGATGAGGGCAAAAACCCGACCCTACAAGAATTGGGGGTTTGGGGAAAAGAAAAATTCAGACTCAGTGAGATGCCAAGCAAGACAACAATGTCTCGAATTTTAAAACAGTCCTCATCGCTATTGGCTCGCCCGAAAAAAACAATAGTGAAGAAAACAGGAGAGAAGAAAGGCAAAAACCATGCTGTGGAAACGGCACTCTTTGATTGGATTATTTACCAACAGCTTAAACGGGTAAACATTAATGGGGATTTAATCTGCCTAAAAGCCCGAAAAATTCAAGACTTGGCCAATCAAAAGCTCCCGGATCATGAAAAATACAACTCAATTTTCTGTTGGTTGGCTCAGTAATTTCAAGGCGCGATGGGGGCTTCGCGTGCTACGATCGCATGGCGAGAGCGGGGATGCGGATTTGGGTGCTGTTATCCGTGACCAGCTGATAATTATGGAGAGGCTTAAGAATTATTCTGAAAAGAATATTTTTAATGCAGACGAGTCCGGGTTGTTTTTTAAAATGGCGCCCAACAAGACAGTTGCAGTGGAGAGGCTACCAGGTCGTAAAAAGGCTAAAGATCGATTCACTGTGATGCCTTGCTGCAATGCAGATGGCTCTGAGAAGTTCGAGCTCATGATAATCGGGCGATCATGGAAACCCAGGGTGTTTAAAAGGAAAAGTGGTCAAGAACTTGGTTTCTATTATCATGCCAACAACAAAGCATTGATGACAAGCGTGTAGTTCTTTGGTTGGTTGCAGCGCTTCGATTATTACATTGGAAAGACAAATGGGAGAAAAGTTGCTCTGTTAATTGATAACTGCAGTGCTCACGGAACTAAATATAACCTACCTGCTTTAGCCCACGTTGAAGTAATCTTTTTACCGCCCAATACAACCTCGAAGCTCCAACTGTTGGACGCAGGAATTATCGCTTCAATCAAACTGACGTATAGACGCTTGCAGATGGAACGAGCTATTGATTTAATTGATGAAAATGTGAACGACATCTATAAGGTTGACATACTAACGGCTATGCGTTGGATGAAGAAAATATGGAATGAGCTTGCTGCCTCAGTAATACAGAACTGCTGGAGGCACACTGGTATATGTGGTACTGAATTGGATTCATCGGAGAGGGTAAGCATTAGTAATTTACTGTGCAATGAGGAGCAAATGTTGGAGAGACAAATTGCCGAATTAGTGCCCACTTGCATACGAATGTCTATTGTTGAACTACTCAATGTGTCGGGCGAGGATGATTGTGTTCAAACTGTGGACGATCAGGCGCTTATCGATTCAGTTGTCGACTTGGGGGGTGGAAGTGGTTTAGAGGACAGTGAGGAACATACTGAAGAAGACAATTTGCTTCCCTGCGCCAAAGAGCAGCTGCGTGTACTTGCGC